GACGGGAGGCGAGGGCCGCGGGGCCGGATCGCTCGGCGGGCTCCGCGGCTCGAAGCTCGAGGGCGACGGGCCAGGGAGGAAAAGGAAAGGGCGCACATACCGCTGCCCTTCTCTCCTTTTCCCCTCCGTGGGGCCTCCCGGGAGGTCCTCGTCGCCGCCGCCGCCAGATTCGCTTCGCAATTCCGGTCAGAAGGCCCCCGGGAGAGGTCTGGGGAGTGCCTGCCTGTTAAGGTCTGGGGAGTGCCTGCCTGTATTGGTTTCTTTCGGGTTCCCCCAGCAGGAGGATGGAGGAGGGGGGGGGATGGAGGTGGCGGCGGAGGAGGCGGAGGATGGAGGAGGGGGGGGGAGAGGAGGAGGATGGAGGAGAGGGGGGGGGGATGGAGGAGGCGGCGGAGGAGGCGGAGGAGGCGGCCGAGGCTGCTTGCCCTCGGCCCAGGGTGTCGGCACATCGCGCCCCCCACTCGGGTGTGCACGACCGGGCCAGACCGGTCCAGGAGGAGAGGAGGGAGGGAGGGAGGGAGGGAGGGAGGGAGTGGAGAGGGAGAGGGAGGGAGGGAGGGAGGGAGGCGGAGGATCAGAAGGACGAGGCGGAGGAGAAGGGAGGAGGAAGGAGCAGGGGCCGCCCGCAGCTGGGTCCCCACTGGGACCACCCGCGCGGGTCACCTAGGGTGACCGAGCGGATGTCCTTGGCTGATGCCTGGCCTCGCTCTTGGCACAGCGCATTCGGGGAAACTTGTCAGCAGTTGCCTGCAGATTTTTTCCTAGAAGCCAGCAGTTGGCAAATATGGTGACGCTGAAGATGGTGATGATGGTGATGATGATGCCGATGATGATAATGCTGCTGCTGATGATGATGATGCTGATGATGATGATGATGATCATGATGATGCTGCTGATGCTGCTGCTGATGATGATGCTGATGATGCTGACGCTGCTTCTCACGAGGATGCGGGTGCTGCTGATGATGACAATGCCAGTGATGATGACGATGCTGATCATGATGATGATACTGCTAATGATGATGACGATGCTGATGCTGATGCTGATGCTGATGATGATGATGAGGAGGATATGAGAGGATGGGCGCCCCCAGCTGCGCCACTAGCTGGTGATGGCGATGATACCAATGACGATGACGATGATGATGTTGATGATGATGATTGCTGATGATGATGCTGATGTTGCTGATGTTGCTGATGATGCCGATAATGATGATGCTGCTGATTCTGATGAAGGTGGTGATGATGATGGTGGTGCTTATACTTGTACCAATAATGGTAGTTGTGAATATGATATCGGTTGGTGTGGTGGTGATGATGCAGCTGCTAATGCTGGTGATGACGAGGATGGCGATGGTAATCATGATACTGATGCTGATGATGATGATGATGATGATGATGATGATGATGATGATAATGAGGATGCCGACGATGACGGTGACGATAACGAGGACAGTGATGACGATGCTGATGATGACGGTTGCGGTGACGATCATGATGGTATGCTGCTGATGTTGGAAGCGTTGTGGTGCTAATGGTGATTCTGATGGTGATGATGATGATGATGCTGATGATGATGATGATGATGATGATGATGATGATGATGTTGATGCTATGATGATGATCATGATGATGATGCTGCTGATGATGCTGATGATGATGATGATGATGATGATGATGTCGGTGATGATGCTGATGGTGCTGATGATGATGCTGATGATGATGATGCCGATGATGGTGATGATGATGACGATGTGCTACTATGCTGCTGATGCTGATTACTCTGATGATGACGGTGCTGATGATGCTTCTGCTGCTGCTGATGAAGATGGAGAAGATGGTGATGATGATGCTCATGACGATGACGATGCTTATGATGATGCTGAGTATGCTGTGTCTGATGACGATGATGATGTTGATGCTGCTGATGATGATGCTGTTGATGATGTTGTTGATGACGATGATGATGATGAGTATGACTGCTGATGCTGATGATGCTCATGATATTGTGGAACTTGATGCTGATGAGGATTCTGATGATGATGATGCTGCTCATATGATGATGGTGACGATGACGACGATGCTGACGATGATGCTGCTGATGATGTTATTGGTGATGATGAGTTTGGCGGTCGTTGGGCTGATGCTGCTGCTGTTGATGATGATAATGGTGAGGATGGCGATGGGAAGTCTGATGATGCTGATGATGATCATGATGATTACGACAGATGTTCATGATGATGCTTGTTGTGCTGCTGCTGCTGATGTTATTGACGATTCTGCTGACGATGACAGTGACGATGTCGATGATGGTGGCGAGGATCTCGATGATCATTCTTGTTGTGACGACCATTCTGGTATTCTGTTGTTGATGATGGAACGGTGGTGGTGGTGACGATGGCGAAACTGATGTTGACGATACTGCTGCTGATGATGCTGCTGCTGCTGATGATGGTGACGTCTGTGGTGCTGCTGCTGTTGATGATGCTGATGCTGATGATGCTGATTCTGATTAAGACGATGGCGATGGTGATGACGATGGTTGTGCCTATGCTTGACTGGTATTGGTGAATGTGATTATGCTGTTGCTGGGTGTGGTGATGATGTGGGTACTGCTGCTGATGCTGGTGATGATGAGGATGACGATGCTGAATCTGATGATGATGATGATTATGTTGAGGAGGATGTGGGAGGAGGGGAAGGGGCGTCTCCAGCTGCGCCGCTACCTGGTGGTGGTGATGCTGATGATGATACCGATGATGATGACGATGATGATGATGAGGATCATGATGGTGATGATTGCTGATGCTGATGATGATGTTGATGATGATGATGATGATGATGATGATGATGATGATGATGATGATGATTCTGATGATGCTGCGGGTTATGGTCATGAAGATTATGACGATGCCGATGATGATGATGACGATGATGATGGTGATGATGATGATGATGATGATTGTGACGATGACGATGATGATGACGATGCTGCTGCTGATGATGTTGTTGATGATGATGATGAGTTTGGCTGTCGTTGGGCTGATGCTGCTGCTGTTGATCCTGATAATGACGAGGATGGCGATTGCAAATCTGATGATGCTAATGGTGCTAATGATGAATGCGGCAGATGATCATGATGATGCTTGTTGTGCTGCTGCTGCTGCTGATGACATTGATGATTCTGCTGACGATGACGGTAACGATGACGAGGATGGTGGCGAGGATCTCGATGATTATGCGTGTTGTGAGAACCATTCCGGTATTCTGCTGTTGATGGACGAACGGTGGCGATGGTGACGCTGACGAAGATGATGTTGCCGATGCTGCTGTTGCTGATGCTGCTGCTGGTGATGGTGATGACTTTCATGATGCTGCTGCTGTTGATGATGCTGATGCTGATGATGCTGGTTCTGATTAAGACGATGGCGGTGGTGATGACGATGGTTGTGCCTATGATTGTACTGGTATTGGTGATTGTGATGATGATGTTGCTGGGTGTGGTGATGACGGGGGTATTGCTGCTGATGTTGGTGATGATGAGGACGGAGTGGTAAATATGATACTGATGATGATGATGATGATGATGATGATGATGATGATGATGATGGTGGAGTTTGCGGTGGTGATGATGATGACGGTAATTCTGGCGATGCTGATGCTGATGATGATGTTTATGTTGATTATGGTGATGATGGTGCTGCTGCTGCAAATGATGGTGATGAGGATGCCGACGATGTCGGTGACGATCACGAGGACAGTGATGACGATGGTTATGATTACGGTGGTGGTGACGATCATTACCATATGCAGCTGATGACGGAACAGTGGTGGTGCTGATGGTGACGGTGATGATGATAGTAATGATGCTGATGAAGGGCATGATGTTGATGACGATGATGATTATGATGGTGATGCTGGTGATGGTGACGATGAGTGTGATGATGATGATGACGATGTGCTGATCGTGCTGCTGATAATAATTGCCATAATGATGACGATGCTGATGATGCTGATGCTGCTGATGTTGTCGACGACGGTGGTTATCATGATGCTGCTGATGCACCTGATGATGATGCTGATGATGCTGCTGCTGATGATGATGATGATGATAACGATGTCGGTGTTGATGCCGATTCTGACGATGATGCTGATGATGATGCTGATGATGATGATGATGCTGATTCTGCTGATGATGTTGCTGATGTTGATGCTGATGATGATGATGATGATGGTGATTATGAGGATGTGCGAGCAGTGGGAGGGGCGTCTCCAGCTGCGCCGCTAGCTGGGGATGGTGATACTGATGATGGTACCAGTCATGATGATGTTAATGCTGATGGTGATGATGATGATCATCATGGTGGTGATGCTGGTGTTCATTGTGATGGTGATGCTGCTGATGTTGATGATGACGGTGATGATTCTGAGGATGATGTGGTTAGCGGTCGTTGTGGCGATGCTGCTGCTCTTCTTGCTGATAATGCTGAGGATGGCGATGGCAATGCTGTGGATGCTGATGATGATGATGATGATGATCATTGTAAAAGATGATCATGGTGATGCTGGTTGTGCTGCTGCTGATGATGATGATGATTCTGCTGACGATGGCGGTAACGATGAGTAACGATGACGAGGATGGTGGTGCTGATGGCGATGATCATGATTGTTGTGACGACCATTCTGGTATTCTGCTCTTGATGATGGAACGGTTGTGGTGGTGACGATGACGAACATGATTCTGACGATGCTACTGCTGATGACGAAGAAGATGCTGATGCTTATGACGATTGTGATGATGCTGACGATGATGCTGATGATGATGATGATGCTGCTGACGCTGGCGCTGATGGTGATGATGATGACGATGATGATGCTGCTGCTGCTGATGATGATGATGCTGATGATGATGATGATGATGATGATGATGATGATGGTGATGAGGCTGTCTCGTGCCGCGCTCCCTTTGTGGCGCCGCGCGGGCGTGCCCGCCGTGCCCCAGGACGTGGACGAGAGCGGCCACTCGCCGACCTTCCCGCACCTCAAGGGGCTCCGCAACGGCGGGGGCCAGGGGAATCCCCTTCCCGGCTCTCGGGGGACGAGCTGGGCTCATGTCGACTTTTCCGTCCCGATTCCGCGAGCCTTTTCCGCATCTTTCGCTTATTTTATTTTTATTTAGTAATTTTTTTTATTTTAGTTTTATTGTATTTTATAGTTTTTTTTAGTTTATTAGTTTCTTTTTAGGTTAGTTAGTTTTATTTATTCTTAGTTATGCTTTATCCCTAGTTTATGTTCATAGTTTTTCCTTTTTATTAGGTAGAGTATGTTTTATTTTTTTATTTATATTACTTAGTTTTTAGTTTTTTTTATTATTCTATTAGTTAGTAATTATTTTATTTTTGTTTAATTTTTGTTAATATATAGTTTCTATGTATAGGTATATTTTTTTTAGTATTTAGTATTTTTAGTAGTTTTTTTTAGTGTTATGCCCTTATAGTTAGGTAAAGCACGGGAGCCTGGTATGCTCTCTCAACTCCGTCTTTAGCGTCGATTGGCGTCGATCAGCGTCTGGGAGTGGATGAGATGGTGCCGAATGAGCGTCGATGAGCGTCGATGTACGTCGATTAGCGTCGAGCGTCGACTAGCGTCGAGTGGCAAGAGCGGACACGATGATATGGGAGGCTCCCATGAGCTGCTTCCGAATCGGGGGACGAGCAGGGCTCATTTCGGCCTTTCCGACTCGATTCCTCTCGCTTCGCGGGGTGCACGTCTGGAGCACGTGCAGTCAAGATCCTGTGGAGCCTGGTGGGAGCCTCTCTGGGGCCCCTTGGGGGCCTCTTGTGGTCTTCTTGGGGCCTCCGAATCGCGGGACGAGTTGGGCTCATTCCGATTTTTCCGACTCGATTCCTCTCGCTTCGCGGGGTGCACGTTCGGAGCACATGCAGTCCAGTCGTTGTCGGGCCTCTGGGAACTTCTTGGGGGCCCCTTTGACGCCTCTTTGAGGCCTCTTGAGTCCTCGTGGGGGCGTCTGGGAGGCCTCTTGGGGGCCTCTCGGAGCCCCGTGTGGGCGTCTTGGGGGCGCTCTTGCGCTGTCTGGTCCTTTCTGAGACTGTCTTGGGGTGCTCTTGGGCCGTCTTGGGGGCCTCTTGGGGCATCTCGGCGGCCGCTGTCTCGGGGCCTCCTTGGGCCGTTTTGGGGCCCTCTTGAGGGCTTCTTGGGCCGTCTGGGGGCCACTTCGGAGGCTGTTTCGGCCGTCCTGGACTTCTGAGAGTCGAAATAGGCGGGAATGCTGAAATCTTCAAAAAACCATAGGAACATCAAATATTCGGGCTTCTGGAGGCGTTCTTGAGGGTCCTCTTGGGGCAGTCTCGGGCCTTCTTGGGGCCTTGTCAGGCCCCCTTGGGGCCGTCTTGGCCCGCACAGAGGCCAGCTTGAGCCGTCCTGACGCCCTCGTGGCCCCCCAAGAGGCCTAATAAGCCGAAATCATAGATTTTACATAGGTTTTGGTAGGTTTTGGGGCCCCCAACGGGGGTCGCCAGGTTGGGTCGATGGATGTGGCGTAGCCCCTGGGGGGGAGGGGGGCAGACATAATAAGCATCCGCGGAACACGCTGCCGCTCAGCACGCCACTTCTGGACGTGGATTCCGCAAACTTACGCCTCGAGGGTGCCCTGGGTTTGGTTTTCCGATTTGAAGCGTGACGTCCTGGGATCTCAGGGTTGGGTTTCTTGTGGAAGGGTTTTCGTTGTCGAGCTCCTACTGTACTCCGTGCCCCCCCCCTCTTCCTCTGCTCCTTCTCCTCCCCTCTTCGCCTCGGCGTATATTGTTGAGGGGCCAGTTCGTCCGTCGAGTCCAGGCTGCCGCCGCTTCGACTGCCACGGTGCTCTTCCAGCTCGTGTGCGCCTTACATTTTGCTTGTAGCGCTCGTTTTGGGGCCTCGTGGCGCATATTTTTGGGGCCTGCTCGGGCCGCCTTGGAGCTTCGCGGGGGCTTCTTTGGGCTTCCTGGGCGCGTCGACGGGCGGAAGCCCCGATGCGGGCTCCCGCTCTTGGGCCCCTCCTGGGGCCGTCGTGAGGTTCTCTATGGAGACGCTCGGGCCGTCTTGGGGCCCTCTTGGACCTCCTTGGGGCTCTCTTGGGGGGCTTCTTGGGCCGTCTTGGACCGGTTTGAGGGGCGTCTTGGGCTGTCTTCAACGGCGTGTAGGCCGAAAGGTCACACAAGCCGAACGCGTGCGTTTTGTCACAAGGCTTTGACGAATTCGTCTTCTTGGGGCCAACTTGGAAGTGCTCTCGGGGGGGCCTCTGGGGGCCATCTTGGGCATTTTGCAAGGATCTTTCAGCGACCAGGAGCCATCGTGGACCGCTTAGAAGCGTCTTGGGGCTCTCTTGGCCGTTTCGGAGACCCTCCCATGATGCGGTCGGCTGGGGGTCGTGTCCGGTCCCTGGGGGTCAAATGCTCGGGGGCCAGGGAGGGGGGTTGATGGGGAGGGAAGAATGTCACGCTTCGAGACCCACAAGGGGTCAGCGGATTCGATTAAATTTCGATGGCTTCCGATTTCGATTCGATTCGATTTCGGAGTCCGTTAAGGATTCCCATTTTCAAGTGGAGGCCATCTAGACCGCCGATTTCCGCCGATGTATCTTCTCCCGACTCGAGTGCCGATTGCGTCCGATCTGGGTCATTTGGGTCGCCAGTCAGACTTATAGATTCGATCTTGGGCTCTGCTGGACGAGTGACTCGATGTTCGGTGTTTTCGGATGCTCTCGTCGGTTCTCGGCGGCCTTCCGGCCTCGGTGTGCCCTCCAGGAGCCGCGCCTCGCCACGAGCGCCCTGGGGGTTCCCAGAGCTTCCGAGGCCGCCGCCGGAGGCCCGAGTGTTGACCTGGAAACCACCAGGGGACGAAGGAGGAGGAGGAGGAGGAGGAGGAGGAGGAGGAGGAGGAGGAGGAGGAGGAGGAGGAGGAGGAGGAGGAGGAGCAGATGAGAGGGAGAGGAGGGCGCAGCGGATGGACCGTCACGCTGCACAGCTCGGGCTCGGGCTCGTGCTCGGGCGTGTGCGCTCGGGCGCGTGCGCGGGCTCGCTGCCTCCACGCAGGCACGCAGCAGCGTGCACGGTGCAGCGTGCGCCGGCACAGCCGGGGCCGCCTGCGGTCCGATTCGGTACGATTCGATTCGCCGGCTTGGGCCGCGAGGTCGATTTCGATCCGGTTCGGCTCGGCCCGACTCGCGGGAGCCGGCAATGCCAGCCGGAGCCAGGCGCGGGACGATCCGGTCCGATTCGATCCGATTCGATTCGTTGGCGCTTCGATTCGTTTCCGGCCCGATCCGGCTCCGCGATTCGCTCCGGCTCGGGCCTGGCAGCGTGCACGGCACAGCGGCAGCGTGCGTGCACCGGCGTGTGCCCGGCGTCGCCCCAACATATTTAATATTGTATGTGCGTCGCCCCCCCCAGGGGCGACGCGCGCCCCGAGAAATCTTACAGTATATGCGTCGTGGCGGGCGCATTCTGGCCAGACCGCTCGGGAAAGGATATACTACAAGATGGGTGTACTATACGTTCGGGTCGGACGCGCGCCTCCAGGGAGAACATATAGTATCGGTATGTCCCTGTGCGTGCACCAGTGTGTGCAGCCGCAGCGTGCGCAGGCGTGCGCAGCCCTGCCGGCATGCCGCAGGCGAGCGCGGGGGCACACGGCCGCGGCTGCGGGCTCGGAGCGCGGCCCCGTGGCGCACTCGGCGTGGAGTTGGCACGAACGAAATACTACGGGGGGCCCAAAAATATACACCACCACCACCCCCCTCACCCCCTCCCTCTCCCAGGAAAGAGGGGAGGAAGAGGAGAGGAAGAGGAGAGAGGAGGAATCGACGTGGTGGTGGTGTACATTCTTTGGGTCCCCATGCTAGGCCTCCCAGATGGGGTCCGAGCAGATGGGGTTGTAGGATCGCGCCGCATCGCCGATGCATCGACGATGCGGCTCGATGTGGAGCCCGTGTTTCCCCACACCGACGTCGCCGATGCATCGCCGTCGTCGCCGATGCATCGCCGATGCATCGCCGATACATCAGCGATGCATTGGCGATGCGGCGCGATCCTTCGACCTCATCTACTCGGACCCCATCTAGGAGGCCTCTAGAAATGGCTACGGGAAAAAAATGTACGATGCCCAACAGCAGTTCCTGCTCATTTTGGGCAGGACTCGCTACCCTCGCCGCCGCGGACGTAGTCTATTTGAGACAGAAGGCCACCTGCCAAGCAGCGGCCGCTGTCGGTGTTGGACAACGTCTGTTGTTGGGCATCGTTCCCATTTTGTGCGTATATCCCTTTCGGGCGTCCACACAGACGGGCAGCCAAAGCACCAGGACATCCAACGCGGAACCGAACACTACAATCACCCCCTCTGCGTGTGCGCCGGCCACTTTTTGAGAAAATGTGCCTCTGGCGGCACTTTCCCCCAAGGTAGTCGCCCCGCCCCGCGACGGGCTACACCTGGGATGGCACTCCGAGGCACTGCTCTGCCGCTCGAGTTTTTGTCGGCCTTGTGGTCATGCGCCCTCAAGAAACTTCACGAGGCGCTGTCTATCTATCTACCAATACCTCCCCTCCACCACTGCACCACCACCTCCCCTCCTCCACCACTTCCTCCCCTCCTGCACCACCCCCTCACCCTCTTCACTCCCTCCACCTCCTCGTTCTCTTCCTCCTCCGCCCCCTCCTGCCCCTTCTCCTCCACCCTCTCCAACCCTCCTCCCCTCCTCCACCTCCCTTCCTCCACCTCCTCCTCCTCCTCCTCCTCCTCCTCCTCCTCCTCCTCTTCCTCTTCCCACCACCTCCTCCACCGCCTTCTTCCAGGGCCTTCAGGGCCAGGAGGCAACCAACCTGATCCATGCACAGCCGATTGTGACTGCTTCTGTGCTCTCTACTCGGCGGGCTCCGGGGGGGCGTGGCCGAGGTGATCTCGGGAACTCCAAGACCAAGCAGCTCGCGTCTGGGAGGCGCCGTCTTTCGGTGTCGTCGCCGCCGCCGTCGTCGCCGCCGTCGTCGTCAATGTTGCTGGCGTGGTGAGTGGAGTAGTAGGAGGAGAAGGGGGATGAGGAGGATGAGGAGGTTCGGAGGAGGGAGATGATCAGGCTACGTGTAAGGATAAGGATAATCACAAGGATATTGATCGGGATGATTATGATGATAATACTGCTGCTGCTGATGATGATGCTGCTGATGACGATGATGACGATGATGATGGTGACGATGATGATGCGGATGATGACGATGATGATGATGATGATGATGATGATGATGATGATGATGATGACGCCGACGATGCCGATGATGATGATGCGGATGATGATGCCGATTATGATGCTCATGCTGATGATGCTGATTATGATGATATTGATGAGGCATGATGAGGATGCTGATGTTGATGATGATGCTGATGATTATGATGATGATGGTGATGATGGTGATGATGATGCTGCTGATGCTGATGATGATGCTGACGACGCTGCTGTTGATACTGCTTATGATGATACTAATGTTACTGATGATGCTGATGATGAGGATGACAACGACGACACCTGTGATGATGCTGCTGATGCTGGTGATGATGGTGGTGGTGATGCTGCTGCTGCTGGTGATAATGTTGATGCTGACTTCCATAATGCACATACGGAAGGCGATGGTGTTTTTGTCGATGTGATACTAATTCCGCTGATTCTGATAATCATGATGTGGTTAAGGACGATTGTGATCGAGATGATGGCGATGAGTCGTATCATGCTGTTGATGTTGATGCTGATACTGATGGTGGGGATGATGATTATGTTGTTGATGATGATGATGTTGATGATGCTGATGATGATACTGATTCTGATGCTGGTGCTAATGCTGCTGCTGATGATGCGGATAGTGATGACACTGATGACGATGTTGCTGCTGTTGATGATTGTGATGACGACGATGATGATGATGCTGCTGATGCTGATCAGGATGATGACGTTGATAATGTTGATGACCTGGTGATTACGCAGATGATGGTGGTTGTGGTGGTGATGCTGATGCTGCTGGTGATGTTGGGCGATGCTATGTTGCTGATCATGATAATCATGAGACAGATAAGGGTGACGCTGTCGATGATGACGATTTTTGTACAACTCTAAAACATAGGCATGGCCGTTATGTAGGTATAGTTGGCTAGGCCTGTGCAAATATGCATCCATTCACACGACATCCATTCCAAAAACATTGACATGTGCTTTGGGGGGTTGCGCCCCCCCGGTCCTCCAGGCGTCAGAGCGGCTCCAGAGCGGCTCCAGAGCGGCTCAAGAAACGGCACGAGGACGTCCCAAGACGGCTTCGAGGCCCCGACGATGCCCAAAGAGGGCCCCAGGATGGCCTCAGAGAACTCTCAGACGCCCTAAGATGGCCTCAGGACATTCCAAGAGGCCTCGAAGACGCCACAAGAGGTCCCCAAAACGACTTCAACAGGGCTTCCCTAACCACACATCGTCCAAATCATTTTTGGGCTGTTGTATTGTTTGCGCATCGCCGCCCTGTTCGTCTTCATGACGCCCCAGACGGCCCGAGAGAACGCCAGAATCGACCCAAGACAGTCCAAGAGACCCCCAACAGAGTCCCAAGACGGCCCTGGAGGCCGCCAAGAGAGCCCCAAGGCGACCCTAGAGGCCCCCAAGAAGGCCCCAGGCGCCCTCTTGGACGAGTCCGAGAGGCCCCAGAGACGGTCCCAAGAGGTGCTCGAGGGACTCCACCCGAGCTGACGTGTCGAGCTTTCCATCCCACGATGGCCGCAAGAGCCCCCAGCAGGCCCCCCCCCAAGAGCCCCAGGAGGCCTCGAGGCCTCCGGTCGATGGGGCCCCAGGCTGAGCCAAGACTCAGGAGGGGAAAAACACACAGACACAATTAATCGTCGATTCCCTAGGAACATGGGAAAATATAGGAAGTGGGGGGGAAGACAAAAACGAAGAAACTATAGGAAATATGGGGGATCCTGTTATTTGTGTCTATTCATTTGTGTGTCCTGGGGCCCCTTCAAAGAAAAGCTCCGTAGTTGCTCCGCTTCACTTTCGAACCGTTGCGCACCTGGTGCGGGTCACCTCTTTCGGCCATCCCGCGCGCGCCCCGCGCGCCTCTTCCGCGCGCGCAGGACGGAGGGGAGAGGGCGCGATCCCGACGCGGATCTTCCAACGCTAAGCTGGCCTGCAATCGCTCGACTTTCTTGCCCCCGCTTGCACGCGTCGGGCGCCTTCGGTGGAGGGGCAACGGTGAAACGCGCTTCAGGTTTTGAGCGGCAGTAGCTAATAGCGCCGCACAACCCAACGCGCGCCGTCGCTCCTCCACGCCCTCAGCGCCGTGGGTTTGATCCACGGGTCCACGCCAGTATATATATATATATATACATATATATGTATTCTATAATAACGGTATATGTATATATATATATATATATGTTAACCAGCGTGGGCCCAAAACGGTGTGTTTCTGTAGGTGTATGTTTTGCAATAATTGCGACGCAATCCATATGATGCAACATGCGTTGTGCATTCTGTGGGTGTGCATACGTTGTGCAATCCACGTGGTGCAATCTTTTCGTTTCAATCAAGGTTGTGCGAGCTATGTGGGTCAGTCTACGTGGTGCTCGAGATGTGGTGCAACATAGGATGTGCAACACACGTTGCGCATTCTGTGGTGCAATGTATGTGGAGCAATATTGCGAAGGCCTTACGGCTGGTGCCGCCGACCTTGGATGGCGACGACAACGACGACGACGACGAACGACGAAGACGACGACGACGACGAAGACGACGACGACGACGACGACGACGACGTCGACGACGACGAGCGCTCTCGGGGGCCTCCTGGGGGTAGCTTGGGGCCCTCTTGTGAGGCTCTTGGGGGCCGCTTGGGAGCCTCGTGGCGGCCTCTTGGGGCTTTCTGGGGGTCTCTTGGGGGCCTCTTGGGGCCTCTGGGGAGGCTAGGGGCCCCTGGGGGCCTCCTGGGAGCTTCTCAGGCCGAGGGCTCGAAACGACCGTTCGGGTCTCCCGTCTGGGCTCCCTCTTGGAGCCGTCTTGGGGGCCACTTCGGCTGTCTTGCAGGCCTCTTGGGCGGTCTTGGGGCCCTCTTGGGTCGTTTTGGGGCCCTCTTGGATGCCTCTTGAGCCATCTTGGGGCGGTCTTGGATGCCTCTTGGCCTGTCTTGGAGCGTCGGGAAGCTGACCAGGCGAGACTGCCGAAATCCTTGAAACACCAAATGGACATCTATAATTTTTGCCCCTTAGGGCCCTCTTGGAAATCATCTTGTAGGCCCCTTAGGGCGTTTTGGAAAGTGCAACATACTTTGCGCAATCTACGTAATGCAATATATGTGGAGCAATATTTGTTGTGCACTCTTCCGCGGTGCGATCTAGGTCGTGCAGCCCACGAGGTGCAATCCCTGCGGTTCAGTACATGCTGCGCACAATTTGTGGCGCAGTCTATGTGGCGGGACCCACGTGGTTCAAGGTATGCTGTGCGCTCTCTGTGGTGCAACCTGTGTCGTGCAGTATAAGTTGTGCCGTATACGTGGTGCACTCTATTTGGTACCTTCTATGCTGTACAGTGCCGTTTTTAATACATGCTCCGCGTGCGGATCATGTATAAAACATGCAGGGATTTAGCACTAAAAACAACGATGAGTTCATGCGTAAATTTAGTCATGCATTTGACATGTATTAAGAATCCTACGTTTTTTTACACAACTGCCCTGTACAATCCATGTTATGCAGTCTGTGCGGTGCAGTCCGTGTGATGCAAGCCGCAGGCCGGCCTGCAGCTCCAGGGGGCACCCCGCAGAAGGCACGTCGTCCGACGCCGGATATGTAAAGCGATTCCCCCCCTCGTCCCGTCCTCTGCCACGCCACGTCGAGCAAGCCGACTCCAGCCTGCGCTGCACACGTGATGCAGTTTGACTCGTGCATTCGTCTGTTGTCGCCAGTTTCGTTTTTCCAGAGTTTTTGGCCTCGTGGGGCCGCCTTCGGGCCCCGGGACCGTCAGAAACGTACCCGGGATGAAACACGACCCCAAGGGAAGTTCCTTGGGCGATTCTTCGTCTCGAACTGCTGAAGTTGTATGTGTCTGGAAACCTTTGTCTGGAGGCATTTGTCTGGGGGGCCCCAGAAGCCTCCAGAGGTTCCCGCACGCCTTTGGGAGGCCCCTAATGGTGCCCAGAGGGAAGGGCGTCCCGAAAAACCCGGATCCTCGACACTCCTCCCCTGCCGATCCGCACCCGAAGGGTCTCGTCGCGGCGCCGCCTGCGGTGCCTCGACCCCACGCCGTCGGCTCCGCGCCCTGCTGGTGAGGATGCAACCTCTGGGAGGCCAAAGGCAGCATCGGCGCTGGTAGATCCATGGCCTGGGAATGGCAGAGTCTCGGCTAATCGCTAATCTGGCCTAGTCCCGCCGCAATCTGGTTGGATTTGGCTTGGTCCCGGGTTCAGTTTGGTCTGTCTTAACAGGCTTAGTTTTGGCTTCGTCGCCTCTGCTCGTTGTTACTGAGGCCTCGAGTGATTCCAGGGTTTGCCCTCGTGTGATGCCAGGCTTGTCCTCGCGTGATTCCGGGTTTGCTTGGTGCATTTTGCCAGCTCCATGCTTAGCCAAAGTTCGTGATCGTTGCGATGAGTTGCCGCGAAGCCAAGAGTCCAGAGGGACGCGTAGGCAGCAAGATGCGCGATTGGCACTGCTCCGAAAAGATATATGTGAGTTGACCGCGTTGCTGAAGATTGCAACAGTGGCGGATTAGGATATGATGACGATAGTGATGCTGATGCTGACGTGGGTTGTGATGATCAGGATGACGATTGATGATCGATGATTAATGCTTTGTGGTTTGTGGTTGGTAATTGGTGATGATGGTGATGGTCATGGTCATGGGCATGCTGATGATGAGTATGATGAGGAGGAGGATGGCGCTGCTGTTGATGGTAATACTGATGCTGATGCTGATGTCGATGCTGATGCTGATGCTGATGCTGCTGCTGATGCTGATGATGTTGATGATGCTGATGAGGATGATGATGCAGTTGATGTTGATGCTGATGCTGCTGCTACTGATGATGATGAGGATGATGATAATGCTGATGATGCTGATGTTGATGATGGTGGTGATGATGATGCTGGTGATGCTGATGATGCTGATGATGCTGATGATGATGGTGATGATGGTGGTGGTGATGAAAATGATGAGGAGAAGGAGATGGAGGAGGAGGAGGTGGTGGAGGTGGTGGAGGAGGGGGAGGAGCATGAGGATGAGGATGAGCAGGAGGAGGGGGAGGAGGAGGCGGAGGATGATGATGATGATGATGATGAGGAGGAGGAGGAGGAGGAGCAGGAGGAGCAGATGAGGATGCTGCTGCTGCTGATGATGATGATCATGATGATGATGATGATGATGATGATGATGATGATGATGATGATGATGCTGATGATGCTGATGATGCTTATAATGCTGATGATGACGGTTATCATGGTTATTATGTCGATGCTGATGCTGATGCTGATGCTGATGCTGCTGCTGATGCTGATGATGTTCATGATGCTGATGA